TGTAGCTTTATAAAAGCCTCCAGCTCGCGGAGCTCCTTGTAGCTTTATAAAAGCCTCCAGCTCGCGGAGCTCCTTGTAGCTAGCTCTGATTGCAGGTGCTGCTTATTCGGTGTGTGCTATTTTACTCCTGTGTGTGATCTCACTTTCTCAGCTAGGCTGTAAGCCTTTCAGGAATGGGCACTGTACATAAAAGTTCTCTCTCACCACAGTCATTGGATGTGTGCCTGATAAAAGTGTTTATTAATGAAGGTGCTGATGCAAAGTGAAATCTTAGTGTTTAAAATAGGTTAAGAAACTGGGTTTTTGAGAAAGAACCTACAACTGGAAAAATCCACAGTATTAAGAGCCGCTGAACTTAAGTTGTATTAACTATGATAGCTAGCCAAAGCTACAAAATATAATTGTGCTTTTCAAATAGGTGCATAATGTAAAAACAATAATTGGATGATAGGGACAAAAGTCCCGGAACTTGCTAAGAAAAATAGGAGCAGGAAAAGGTGGATAGTATAAATGTGTTAATTTTTAATATTTCTGAGGTGATAGCAGAATGAAGATATTGTTTAATGTCTAAATCAATTGTGAAATATAAGTTGAGCTATATTAAAGATAGGAAAGCAGCCACTATTAGAAATAAAAATAGACTCTATTATATATTTTGAGTAACTGAGGAGATAGGTAGTGGGAAGTTTGATGCGCTCTGCCTGTGAAGCATGATAATTTCTTTAAATCTCTAATGGAAAACTGTTCTTCTTCCAGACAAGATGAACCTTCCAATAGCAGCCAAGAAATAAACTCTGATGACAGGCGACCCCAATGGAGACGAGAAGACCGAATCCCTTACCAAGACAGAGAGAGCTACAGTCAGCCAGCGTGGCATCATCGTGGACCTCCTCAGCGAGACTGGAAGTGGGAGAAAGATGGCTTTAATAATAACAGGAAAAACAACTTTGCACATTCTTTGAGGAATAACGGTGGACCAAGAGGATGTTCCGGGTGGCACAAGGGTGTTGCAGGAGGCTCCTCGACTTGGTTTCACAACCATAGCAATTCTGGAGGTGGTTGGCATTCAAAGAGTGGTGCAGTAGATTGGAATCCTAATGGTACAGGAAGGAATTCCAGTTGGCATTCTGAAGGAACAGGTGCCTTTTCCAGTTGGCATATGAACAGCAGTAACGGAAACTGGAAATCCAGTGTACGTAGTACAAATAGTTGGAATTACAGTGGCCCCGGAGACAAATTTCAACCAGGCAGAAACAGAAATTCTAACTGTCAGATGGACGACCTGACTATGCTGTGGAACAAGAAATCTAAGTCAAACAAATACAATCAAGAGAGATATAGTTGGCAGCGGCAAGAAAGTGACAAAGTTGGTACGGCTGCCACGTATAGAGGTCCTTCTGAAGGATTTACAGGTGATAAATTTCCTTCAGAGGGCTTACTTAACTTCAATTTTGAGCAGCTGGAAAGCAAAACTACTAAGCAGACAGATCCCATAGCTTCCAAAATGGGTGGGAAGAATGGCAGTGTAGCGAGGGACAAGCTCCATCGCTGGACTCCTTACCCTTCCCAGAAGACTCTGGATTTACAATCAGGAATGAAGGAAGTCACTGGTAACAAGTCAGAAATGATAGATAAGCCTTTCTTTGACTTCAGCTTGACAACCGCAGGAACACCAGAGCCCCAGATTGATGAAACAGATAATTCCCCAACGCTGAAAACACAGAAAGAAACACATGGTGGATCTCTTACTCACAAAGCCCCTTCTGACTGCACTGCTTCTTACGAGGCGGTGAGAGATTGCCCTGTTACAGAAAAGCATGAACAAGAGCTTCACTTAAGTAAGATGCCATCCTTAAAATCCCCACTCCTTCCAATTCCAGTCACCAAGTCAGTTCCTCAAAAGCCAGATTTAAAGAATCCCTCAAAAAACACCAAAACAAATTCTTTTTTTCCTGGAGAACACTCAAATCCCTTGAACAAACCTGCTATGGAAGACAGTCATGGGTCTCATGTAACCAAATTGCGAAGTTCATGTCCTCATGTTTTAAAAGGGAATAAAAGTACATTTGGCACTCAGAGAGAACCTGATGAGAATTTCAGCGATACATTACAAAAAGCCAAAGAGGTGCTACAGTGTCATGAATCATTGCAAAATCCACTTCTTGGCACTTCTAAAAGGACCAGGAACTTTGCAAAAGCAAGTAGGAACGTAGAAGAGTCTGAAAAAGGATCTTTGAAGATAGAGTTTCAGGTACACACGTTAGAAGATGAAAGCGATGGGGAGCTCTCTGACACGGAAAAGCGAGGATCAAAAATTGGGACCCTGGGCTCTGCCACTACAGAAATGTTATCCTGCAGCACTCACCTCGCTGACGAGAAAGAGGGGGATGACCAAAACCTGAAAACATGTAGAAAACTCTCCACTAATGCATGTAATTCAACAGTTCATCAGAAAGAACCTGAGTTGCAGATGACCTCTGCGGCCAGTCCACCCTCTGGCTTACTGCTAGACTTGAAAACTTCTCTAGAAGATGCACAGGTGGATGACCCTGTTAAATCTCATGTATCTTATGAAACAGAAGGTTTTGAGAGCGCTAGCTTGGATGCAGAGCTTCAGAAAAACGATCTAGGTCAGTCCTCAGGCCCTCTTCTGCCTGAACTCAGTAAGCTTGGCTTTCCTGCCTCTCTCCAGAGAGATCTAACCCGGCACATTAGTTTGAAGAGCAAAACTGGAGCACACCTTCCCGAGCCAAATCTCAATAGTGCTCGCCGCATTCGCAATATTAGTGGTCATCGAAAGGGTGAGACAGAGAAGGAATCTGGGCTCAAGCCAACCCTTCGACAGATTCTAAATGCATCTCGGAGAAATGTCAACTGGGAACAAGTCATCCAGCAAGTAACCAAGAAAAAGCAAGAGCTAGGCAAAGGCTTGCCCAGGTGTGTACCTCTTTTTAGTATCCCATTTCTCTGTCTTTTAAACTTACCCTTTGACCCTGGTCAAGAGAATTCTGGTTAATTAAATGTTTGTAAGAAATATATGTTGTAGATGTCTGGTTTAAATAGCAAAGAGTGACTGCTACCCTATAACAAATGCAGTAGAGTGTTTCCTGACAGGGAATTCAGGTTGCAAAGAAGCACGTCAGCCTCTAAGAAATGAGACGGGGGGGGCGCCTGGGTGGCTCAGATGGTTAAGCGTCTGCCTTCGGCTCAGGTCATGATCCTAGGGTCCTGGGATCGAGTCCCACATCGGGCTCCCTGCT